CTCGGTGAGCTTGTCTTAATTACAAACAAACAAAATACCTGTAACTTCATAAATATCCATTCAATAACTTATAAGTAGCAATGGAAGATCTTGATCCAACATTTTCTAATGTTCATCAATATAAATGCTAATTGTTTAAAAGTGTATGATTGTATCTCTCTAACATGTTGTTGGAAGATGTATGAAGAGCTGTTGTCCTATTTTTTTTATTCCAAGTATCTGATGTATTTTCTCAAATGAAGCTGATTTAAATGAAGTTCCATGGACACTCCAAATCTTGAAACTAATTAATTAACAAGTTGCCTTGCTAGAGTTTCTGATTCTTGGTTAGGAACAAAATATTCTTCTGGCCATTTGGTGAAATAGTCTATCACGACCATGATATATTTATTCCCACTATTACACTATGGCAGAAGACCAAGCACATTGACAGCAACTCTATCAAGCGGTGCAGCAACACAATACTGCTGTAGTTGCCCGTGCTGTTTCTTTCATGAACCATTTCATTCACAACATAATTCACATGATTTGCACCAATTCCCTACAGATCTTGTTTTTACACACTGCACGAAATTTCTAGATTCTACAGAGGCATTAACTTTCATAAACTTTCTAGTTGTTATTTCGTGCGTCCTCTAGCAAATATATATCTAAATTAAATATATAATAATATTATTTCGATGACGAGGAACCCACTTTGAGACTAATAATGGCTGGAGACGGCTTAAAGTTTTTCTTCATTACCCATTTAAGCCGTCTCCAGCCATAATAATATTATATATATATAAGGGTGTATTATAGTCTACTGACATTACATTAGAATGCCTAAATTAATAACTATGACTTCGTTTCTCAATTTTATCGGAGCTTTTTACACGAAGGAAGTGCTTGAAAGCAAGAAAACAATGAAAAAAAATCAAACAAATGTGAAACGAAAAAAAACAACGCTGTAGTTATAAACGACATATGAGAAACGTTATGGTGCCATGTTTTGAATAGTAAATGCATTTCTGTTTTGATATAGGTTTAGGGGAAGAATACCTGTCATACATAAAGACAATAAAAATAAAAAGTGAACAAAAATAACAGATGATATCGTCACTTTTCTATGTATAGCACGAAGATATTGTACAGTGTATGCTACAGTATATCAAATAAATTGATATACAGTGTGATCGGTATAAGTCGTTATAATCAAATAATAGGTGGCGCTGCTTCAGAAATATATTTGGTGGACAAAGAATATACTAAAACTAAAAGAGTTTAAGATACATTGCTAAGAAACACGATAAATGTTTTTCGAGAAGTAATTCTAACTACAGAATTATTAAAATTTTTAAAAATGATGTCCAGGTCGGTCCGTGCAGAGACGCGAAGCCGAGCAAAAGATGATGTTAAACGTGTGATGCAGGCGATAGACAAAGTTCGGAAATGGTACGGTAGGTTAGGGTTGACTGCAGCTGTTTACTTACCTAGTTTTTCCTTCGTTTCGGACGACGATGATATATTAGGCCTGCGATAGATGGGGTTAAGTTCTGCAGTTGGTCACCCCAACAACATATCCATCTTAAATGAATTTTTTTCTATTTTTCGTATATGATTTTTGCGAAGCTCTCAGATGGTGCAGTTTTACACTGTAAACAAAATCAGATACATATGTTTAAAATGCCCAAATTAGCCCTTGAATCAAGGCTTGAATGAAGCTACAAGGTATATCTGTTTATTAATTTAAACATTTTCTTCTGTAAACAATGCTAACAAATTTTGTACCATAACTACAAGTACAACACACCTGTGAAAAAAATATTATATACTTTAAAAATACACGTTTCAGAACTCTCTAGTGATGCCATTTTTGGCAAATATTAAAGAACACTTACACTAACAGCAAAAGTGGAAAATCAGCAAGTAGCAAGTAATTATTACGTAAAATTTCTTCAGTTTCTGTAAGTGTAATGCGTCTATGTATGACTCTTCCAGTTCCATCCAAATAACATTATTTTCCAATTATAATTTTGTCTGCTTTTAAAAAATATTTGTTTAGGAGAGCTGAGAAAAGGTGTGCCATTGCTACAATGCAAGAAAGACACTTTAAGCTATACCCAGTTAAATGGTTTCCTCTAGTAACTCAATTACTTCATCATCAGTATTGATAGATTATGATGTGTCACTATGGTTGTGCATTTTTAAGGGGCATTCATACATGTTGAGCTAAATTCTGGTTGTGGCACATGCAATGTATCTGGCATGCATTTCTTCCATTACAAGTACAGATCATTTGCAGAAGCATCTCAGAGGTTATAGGTCTAATATACATTATGAGGATAGGGACAATGTCCATTTTTCTCCTATGATGCACTGCTGAGCCAAGAGCTTGGTAGGGGGATGCACGAAGACAACTAACATTTTGTCTGCCACCTTGCCCTCTCTTGTATACAAAAGCTGCCTTCACATGATTGTAAGCTCACAATGCTGAAAGTTTTTACACTGAGTTTGTTCAGCTCTCCATGCACATTATTTTCCCTTGCCTTTCACATCACAGAGATAGGTTATTAATATTTTTGCTGCTGTTGTGGCCATTGCCCTGTTGTCACTTCCAAGACTCTCTAATTCAGTATAAGCTTTGTTTATGGTTTTCTTCCCAATGTGATATTGTACACATTTGGTATTACACCTAGATAATGCATGTACAACTGACAAGATTCTCTAAAGAACATATGGTATTTTTTTTCAGGCTCTGTGTTAAAAGAATTGCATATGCAGATCTATGCTTCTTCTTGTGTTATAGAGAGCCAGCTCAAGAACGTCAGTGTCTGCCATACTGTGGATCTTATGATGATTAACCTTTTTATGTCAGCTGTTGATGTCTGTTTCCTCTTGACTGCTGGTCATATCTGGGACAATTTGGAATCCATCATAGACTGGGTCTGCTGAAAAAGAGAATGACAAATTCATATTTTTGGAGGAGTCTGCAGGAATTTGGTATTATAGATTCCCACACAGATATTTGTGAAGGAACTTAACTAAGTCTAATTTGTTATCACTTAAACACTGAGTACATATTTCCACACTGGCAAAGATCTCTCTTCAATGAACTGGTATGTTTTTGATTCTTGATATGTAGCTGCTCTCCAAATTTAATAGAAATTTTTTCACGTATGTAAAATGCTTCCACTAACGTGTTGGAGAGCCTGAATCCCAACTGAAGATACTGCAAGTAATCCTGTGCAAGTTTAGAATTGAAAATTAGATTGATAATGTAATTTTGATGAAGGGGTATACAGTAAAGATTATCATCAGCCCAGAACTGATCTTCCAATGGGCATTAGCACTGACAGAATGTCAGGAAGATGTGACAACAGAAACAGTACTCAGTCATCACTATTCCATGATCTTGGTGTCAAGATGGAGGATTTGATTTGCAAGTTTACAGATCTCCCATGGGAGTCATTACAACACACTGTATTATTCACGTAATTTTCGTACTTATACACGAAACATTATGAAGCTGGAATAAAAGACTCGTATATAAGCACTATTAGAGCAGGTGCTGAATGATTTTAAGAACATGTATACTTGATTTTCTGCCCTTTTAATATTCATATGTTCTTTTGTTTTATAGTAATAAAGTCCACTAATAGAAATTTCTTAGCATGTAATTTGAAAAGATCCATTAATTATGTAAAAGTTAATAAACGTTGTGATTGTAATACTGTTAACAGAAGTGAACAATTCACTGCAATATGTCAGGTTCAACAAGTGTTAAATTGGATATTGCTGTCATATTTTGTTTAGAGCATAAAACCGCACCACAACAGGCATATTTAAAAGTAGAGAAAACTTTCCATACGATAAACTGTGTTGTGGGTAGAAGGCAGATTGGGGGGAGGTGACCATACTCCTAAAATATGGCTCGTTATTGAGATATACAGTAAACCTAATATAAGCCAGTAGAACAGCATGTTAAATATTTTGTGAAATACTTGTATGTACTATGTTATAAATACTATTACGCTTAACCTTTGTGGTGTTTAATAAAAAAGAGAAATTACAATATCATAAAAATACTAAAACTTAAGATACTATTTTTACAGCATTGCCACTCTTTTAGCTCAGTTTTTTTTAGCCATGGCTCTTAGTTTGTTTGTTTTTCAAGTACAAACTTTTAGCTCATAGCTACATCATCTCTTGACCGATTTGATATCTAAATACAGTTTTGGACTCAGTAGGTTAAACCCTTTCAATTGATGTATTTACCATGCCCAAGGTATCATAGATTAATTTACTCTAATCCTGCTGAAAAGAATTTCAATTTGAGGGTCAGCTGGTAGAGATTCTGATGAGTAATCAAATCAAATCAGGGATTCGTGTGGCTCATGTTTGGTATTCCTGGTGCACAAAATTGTATCTAATAAAAAGGAAAAAAAAGGTCTCATAGATTAATTCACTCTAATTCTGCCTAAAAGAACTTCAATTGCCATAACTATTGAGGATTCCCTCTTGTTTACATTTGTATAGAACTTATGTGTGATACAGATAGTCTAATAATTGCAATTTCTTGTCAAACTTACATTGTGTGATAGTACAGCAGTAAGGATGCTACAGACAAGTTCACAAAAGTACATCATGTAAATTTCATCCCAAGTTTCTCAATAAACAGAGATCTACAACCTGTTTCTGAAAAAAAATATATGAAAGTTAATTTTTTTTGATTTATAGTTTTTTACATTTATTTTTCTACATTTAGACTAAGAAGACATTACTAGTATATAATGGTTCCTTCATAATCACATCCTCTTCATAATTAGAAACAACTTATAAAATAGCATATGGACATTTATTTATAAGTGTCAGAACTCGCCTCCTGAGGCTGGATGATATGCAAATAGTTAAAATTTTTCTCAACTTTACGTTATCTGCCAAATTTCAAACTGTTAGTTTTGAAACAGTGTGTGTATTTGGTAATTCTGTTTGTAGTATGCTGTTCAGTTTTGATACACTTATTTTAATAAGGTTTAAGTATTTATTATGTGTAGAGTAACTCAATATGAAAGTATAGTTTTGAAAAATAGTGATTATATTGTTTTTTTCCCTTAGGGAAAAGAAATGGGTCACTATTGGAGATACCACAATGAAGATTTATAAATGGGTTCCAGGTTTGTATAAACAGAAACTAAAAATACTTTTAGTAAGTAAGCTCTTAAGAAGTCAAACATGTCTAATTTTTAATTGGAAACTGCATGACACAGACAATAAACTGTTATATATTTCAACAGATTTGCCTTGTAAATTATATAGGCCAGTTAGTCTCAATTTTGAAGTTGAAAAAAAATTTGAGAATCATTTAGTGAAATATGATGTCATAAAAGAAAATTAACATGGATTAACCAATGCAAAATTTTGCATTATCAATCAGTTATCTTTTATCAAGGATATTACTTATTATCTGGATGAGGGAAAGGGTGTGGACTTGGTGTACTGAGATTCTAAAAAAAAAGCTTTTAACAAGGTTCCAAACAAAAGATTAATTAAGAAAATTACATTGAAAGGGGTTGGGAAAAAAGGCTAGTTACTGTATTTTTTGGAATATAAGACGCACCCTTATTTTGAAGACAAAGTTTTGGGGGGAAAAAAGCTACAGTTTCATTTGAAAGATTTTTATTGAACAAAAATTCAATTTGATACTTTAAAAATTAGTATATATTGTTCTAAACACAAAAGAGCTCAAAACATCAAAATAAGAAAATACCATAAATCAAAAAAAAGGTTTACTGTTATTTATTTTGGTTCAAAACTTACAAAATCTTCATTGCTTTCACTTTAATTTATTTTTTTATTATTTAGGGAGCATTATAAATAGTTATGTTTTTAAAAGAAAAAAACTACTACTGTTATAAATAACACATTCAATTGAACTAAACTATGCATGCCTATTTAAATATATTTACACATGGCTTGTGTATATCTTATATATGTAC